ACGAGTTTGAGCATCATGATGAGGAACTTATTACCTTCACTTGTGGTGGTGTTGGCCTTGGTTTTCATCCTCATGACTCTGCAAGCTGATGCTGATGATGCAGAACTGAAGCATGACAAAGAACCAAAAGGGCAGCTTATTCTCAACCAAACAGCTTTTGGTCGAAAGGCCAGCGCAGGTGTAGTAGTGATGGTGTTGTAATTTAATTATATACATATATATAACACCATGGTTCTCATTAATTAAAAAGCTTAAATTTGTTTTAATTATAATTGCAAGTCTTGCTTTTAGAGACCATGCTAATTAATTAATAATGTAACATGACACTAAAGTCGATCTCGCTGTGTTCCAAGACCAAAAGAACTGTCATATATATGATCAAACTCGTGTGTGTGTGTGTGTGCATGCAGTGTGTAATTAATTTTGAAGCGTGCAGGTGGTAAAGATGCAGAAGAGGTTGGTGAAAACAAGAAGAGCTCACAGAGTGGGTACATGACGGATTCAGATAACGGAGGAAGCGATGATAATAACGCTGCACTCCATCTTAACAGTCATCACTACTTCACTGATCCTCGCAAATTACCTCCACGCAATTGATGAAATCATGATACTCTTCTGATCCTAAATGTAAGATTTATTTTATAGTGTAAATTATACTATAAAATAAGTCTTATATTTAGGATCAAAAGAATATATCCAATAATGAACTTATTATATATGTGAAGAGCTATATTATTATTAGATAGAGTTTGAAATTCTGATCAAACAAACTAGTGGATTTGTGCAAAAGCTCTAAGAATTTCAAAGGGCTTCTAATACTAGAAGGAGTTCAACCTTGGTATAGCTCTTCATATAAATTATTACCCTGATATAAATATGGCGTGTTGCATGCATGCAACTATATATGTATATGCGTGTGTACTAATAAATAAAGTGTGGAACCAGCAGCATGTTTGTGTAATTTATGTTTATATGAATAATCTGTAAGGGCGCTTCAACATGATTAAGCTGTCTACAATGTTCAAGTAGTGCTAATTAATTGTTTCGGCTGGGTCATGGCAAGCCAATTAAGTTAACTCTTATTCTCATGATCTGTATAGGTCGATCCTTACACACACACACACACACTCACTTGTTTGTGAGCTACCTGCTATGGCAGAGCTTATTGGTTTTATATATAGAGGCGATGAATCTTGTTACTAGAGGCTGTGATAGTGAACATGGATTTAGTTGATTAATATGATATCAGATTACTTGTGCAGAGGGATTGGCAGGTGATGTTTTGTCATGATCTTCGTAGGGAAGTCATATCCCTTGCTGGTGATTTAGTTAAACTTTCTCATATGCTTAATATTACATCCGGTCCTATATAAGAGCTATTTGACAAATTTGAAGAGATTAAGAAAATAGGTTAAGTTAGTTATTTGTAATCAACAGGTATTGTCTTTCCTAAAATATTCTTGTTAATTAAGTATATTAGCTAGAACTACTATTATCAGAAGGACAACCTTGAAAAAAATACTCCTTCGGTTCTAAACATAAGACCCCTTTTGTAGTGCAATTATCCCTTTTGTAGTACAAATTGCATTACAAAAGGAGTCTTATATGTAGGACCAGAGGAATATAAATATGAGAAACAAAGTAAATTGAAATATTATATTTAGGACCAAAATAAAAATCAAACGAGATTTTATATTAAGAACCAGATGTAATATTTAGTATTGTATTTTTTATCACTCTTTACCTTTTGAATAAGAGGCAGAGCGGTGACGAAGGAGGGTAGGCCACTTCCTGACCTTCCTAATATGTCGATCCTTCCACACACAGACACACAAACACATATTTGTGAGCTACCTGCTGTGGCAGAGCTTATTGGCTTTACATGTAGAGGCGATGAATCTTGTTCTTAGAGGCTGTGATAGCTAGTAAACATGGATTTAGTTAATTAATACTACCTCCAGTTCTTAATATAAAAGCTAGTTGACTAATTTGATTAGATTAAAATTTTTTGTTAAGTTAGTTATTTGTAATAGATAGGTATTGTCTTTTCTAAAATATCCTCGCTAATCAAGTATTTTGGCTAGAACTACCATTATTACAAGTACTATCTCGGAAAAAAAGGATAAACATGAGAGACAAAGTGGATTAGGGTCTTATATTTAGGACAAAAATAAAAGTTAAATGAACTTTTATATTAATGACCGGAGGCATCATGATATCAAGTCACTAGTACATAGGGATTAGCAGGTTATGTTTTGTCATCTTCGTAGGAAAGTCATATCCCTTGCTGTTGATTTAGTTAAACTTTCTCATATGCTTAATATTTAGTGTTGTACAATTTTTTTTATCACTCTTTACCTTTTGAGTAAGAGGTAGAACGGTGACGAAGGAGGGTAGGCCGCTTCCTAAATCTTCATGTTCTCTATCTGCTTCCTAATTTCAGTTATCATTTTCTAAAGAAAGGAAGCGAGAAAAGCAGGAAACAATGAACCAACGCCGGTTCTCCCTAACACGAGCCGGCATACAAATTTTGGTCTGATCTTTTTTTTTTTTTGGCTGTTAACTCAATTATTTTAGGCAATAATTATTATTTCCTCACCCTAAATGTAGGAGTTAAAACAAATACCCTTAACTAGAAGCTTTTCGTTCTCGCTTCTGCCCCGTCTTTTTCGTCTTTCAATTTATTTCTTTTTCATCCGTTGCCAGCATTTTCGTTTGTTTTTGTTCCATCTCGTGATGCTTGTCTTGTTCCGTTTTTCCTCGTCGATCGGTGGTCCTTTTTTGGTCGGCTTCTATTCTGTCTTTTTCAGTACTGAAATGAGTTCTACCGGTGCAAATAGCCAGCTGATGGCCAAGGCTTCATAAATATAATAAGCTTTGCCTTTTGTTCTTAATGACATTTAACACTATACAGAGGATACATCAATCTACATAAAGAACATTTCTTTAAAAGAGGACAAATTTAAAAGTATCCACTTTTCAACTTCATTTCTGATTCTGATTGGAACGTTTCCTTAGTTTAAAGTAAATTACAAAACTGAGGCTTGTGCTTTAATAATCATAATATTGCCCATAGAGTTCCTACCGTCCGAGTCAGATATCAAATACATATTAAACTCATTTGTGCGTCATGGCACACGTATCACCGATCTCGCTTTAGGCAAGCATTAATCCAAATTGGGAAACACAGATTCTCAGCGTGATTTCCATCTTACAAAGAAACCCAAAGTAGGCTGGTCCCAAGTACACAAATATTCCTCCGATCTTTAATATAAGACTCATTTAACTAATTTGATTAGATTAAGGAAGTCAGGTAAGTTAGTTAATTTTAAGAAATGTGACATGTTTTTCCTAAAATACCACAATCATCTTTCTTAATACCCTATCTTCCTCTTCTACTTGATTATGGTTGAGGGAGTATCTATAGGGGTAATTTAGGAAAAATTGATAAATATGATAAATGAGTTTTATATTTAAGACCAAAACCAACTCAATAATTAGGTCATATATTAAAGACCGGAGGAGTCTTAAATAACACAATACTTGATAGGGTTGGATATAAGAGAATCAAAACTTTACTACGCACACCATTTTCACTTTCTCTCTTGTTAATTATCTCTCTAAAGTCAGCTTTCTGGCAAAGATTTAAGTTTATTCCTTCCGTACAATAATAATATTGATTTGCAAAAAAGAAATATTCTCCTTCTTTCGTTACATACAAGCTGAACGGAACATAAAGATTATTGAAATATCATTTGGTCGTAACTTCGTATTTGTATATTATTCTCTCTCTCTCTCTCTCTTCCCAGCTGTCGCGTGGGTGGGTTTAGGGAACGGTCTGCAATTTCCAAGACTTAATTTATAAATCATAATCCCAATAATAATAATCCATGAAATAATATGGGCTTTGAAAAGACAGATTAATACATTTGTGGTTACAAACATACGAACGGATAATTTGACACCACCACGAGTTAGCAAAACAAATTGGCATCCTTCTACATCGTTCGTTTGGAATATGCTTAATTGGCTGGTCATAAAAAATCGATGTACTTTGTCCCCATTTGCGCGTCTCCTCAGCATCTCCCAATACACGTCAGATGGTGATATTACCGTATGTTAGTACACAATTTCCCAAACTCAAGATTTCACAAAAAATACTGTAACTTATTAAGTACCTCCTCTTCTAAATATATAATAATTAGTTGAATATTTAATTTGATTTTAAATATAAGATTTCAATATTTATTTATTATTTTTTTCAAAATAATCTTCATGATTATTATACATAATAAAAAGTTTCTACTTTAATGCACATAGTTAATAACTAACTTAATTTTCTCAATATTAACAAATTAGTTATGTAACTTTTATATCATGTACTGTATGTTGTATTAAAAGAAAACAAAAAGATACCTGTACATTTAAATTTATACATATGTTAAAATTAATGAAACTAAACAAGAAATACATCTATACCATTTTCTATCCTCTTGAGTAAAATTAAAAATAATAATTTCATGAGAGGAGGGAGGGATATTGCCTACACACAAGATTCATATCAAAGGGATGTTTGGATAGAAATCAAAGCATAGTTTTAAAAGTGATTTTATGATATACAAAATAAATATATAAAAAAATTTATCTCAATTTATATAAAAAAATACTTTTAATGATATCCAAATACTTCATAAATTTAAGTAAGAGTTTCATATGTTGCTCCTTGTTCTGCAATATACACAGTTAATTTATAAAATTATAATAGGCAATCTCGATCAGTTTGTGGTTGATTTACAGAACTAATTTAACTGAGCTACTTTTCTTCGCTGAGTCGAACTCTATTCTTCTAATTTAATGGGAAAAAAATGTAAAACAAATCGTTTTGGAAGCATCAATTCAATTTATGATAATCTACTAAAAATAAATTACCAAACAAAGTGATTCATGATAAAATTTGGAGATACCCACACCCCTCTTACTGTAGTTATTAAGCACAAAAAGATGAGAAATGATTGCTTTCGAAGCTAAGTATAAATTCAAATGCCCACATCGAGTTTGAAGTCTAGGGATACTGTTAATATCTGATGTATGCTTAACATGACCAAAAAATTATAATAGTAACAAAGTGACGGCCAAAAAAGAAATATTAAAAGTCAAGTTCTCTTTCTTGCTACCATCATAATTAATTAATTATTGGAACAACTAGGTGCCCAAAAGCATAAACGAAGAAAATCCGAGAAATCGTGGAAAAGGACCTGCGCCGATCCAATCAACGGTTCATTAATATTCGATGCAAGCCTTCGAATGTCACGCCGCCGTTTCGATCTCCACCGGCCAACATGATCATTGCATCGATGTCGTCGTCAGTAACGGCGAGGCCAGCCATTCCCATGAAGCTCTTCAAATCCCGGTGGCTAAGCTGGCCGTCTTCGTCCTTATCCATCACTTTGAACATCTCCTCCAAGAACGACGTCGGCGAACTCACAGATCCGTTCTCCTTGCCGCCGCCCAGAACCACCCTCTCGAACTCATCATACTCTACGAAACCGTCCTTGTTGGTGTCCGCCACAGTCATCATCGTCCCAATGAGGTCGTCGTCGATGTCGGCGGCATCCCTGCCGGCGTAGAATGCCCGAAGATCGTCGCCGCTAATCTTGCCGTCGCGGTCAGAATCAAGGACATCGAATGCTGGTCGGAAAGACGAGTTGACGGTGGAGCCGGATGCAGAGGAGGAGGAGGAGGAGGAGGGAAGGGAGAGGGAACGGCCGGATGGACACATGGCGGGGGAAGTGAGAGGGGTAATTTGCGGGAATGAGAGAAAAGAGGGATTCGCGAGTTGTGAACGCAAAGGAGCCGGAATTTTCCAATAATATAGGGGGAGGAGAGTGTGGGCCCCATGAGCATTGAAAGGTTCACGTGTCTTGCAGAGCAAGCTGTTGAGGGAGAGTAGAAATAGAAATACGCATGCCATGATGCAATATTTATTAAAATTGGAGTTTTTGAAAAAAATGAAAAGAATTACTTGAAAGTAATAATAAATAAAAATAAATTGAAATAGTTAAAATTTTAATTATTATTTTCTTAACTAGGAATCGTAAGAAATTATTTTTAGTTCTTATGATTGTTTCAATCATGGTTGTGTTTCGCACGACAGAAAATAAATACCATATTGTCGTCTCGTGTGGGATTTAATTGTAAATTTCGCTAATATTTAGCACGTTGGGTGATTTCTGGTGTGGACAACACATGCTTTGGCTTTGGCATTCTCCGTTGACTGTCAGCTTCAGCTTGGCTGGCTGGGGGACGCGTTTTTAACTACTAGTTCATTTACTGGCCTAAAGCAGACTAGCTCGTTACCAGAAAAAATAACACTTTTTAATACTCCTCCGGTCCTAATTATAAGACCCAATTAATTTATTTGAGGAGATTAAAGAAGTAAGTTAAGTTGGTTATTTATAATAAATAAGTGTTGTCATTCCTAAAATATCCTTGCTAATTAAGTATATTGACTAAAACTATCATTATTAGAAGGATTATCTTGGAAAAAAATGCATAAATATAAGAGATAAAATGGATTGGGGTCTTATAATTAGGACCAAATAAAAGTCAAATTGGGTCTTATAATAAGGACCGGAGGAGTATATATATATATATGTATGTATGTATTCATTCAACTTGTTTTTAAATTTTAGCAACAGTTGGAAATAGTACTCCTCCGATTCTTAATATAGGATCCTTTGACTATTTTGATTAAATTAAGGATGGTAATTAAGTTAGGTAATAAATATAGATATCCCAAAATACCCTCGGTTTACACTTCTAGAAAAAAACTGACATTTGAAAAAAATTCAAGTCTGGTTAACTCGCCTCCTCCAGTACCAACGTAGTCCAAATTCTCCTGGCTCACGCACCGTCCGATCATAATATCATATAGGATGTGATAGTTTCTTGTGAACTTTGGACCGATTCTCCATATTAAGAAACTTCTGCCTAAGTATCCAAACGTACTATGAATTAATCTGAAAGTTCGAAAACTTTAATTTAAAAACCAATTTTTTTTTTAAAAAAAGAGTAATTGAAGTACGAGATCTTATAAATTTCTATCGCTATTTGTTAATGGCAATGTTCCCCCCTTGTCCGTAACAATTTTCAAAAGGTGTGAAAATACTTCTCATCCACAAACCTGATCAGAACTGGTTGATTAATTTAAATAAATTTAAAAAATTTGTTAAGTTAGTTATTTATAATAAAGAGGTGTTATCTTTTCTAAAATACTATTGTTAATAATATGTATTAGCTAGAACTATTATTTAACAGAATTTTTAACACGTGCAACTACTACAATGACTATTTTGTAAAAAAATACTATCCCCGATCTTTAATATAAGAGCTAGTTGACTAATTTGAGTAGATTAAGAAAATTAGCTAAATTAGTTATTTGTAATAAATAGATGTTATTTTTCTGAAAATATCATTACTAATCATGTGCATTAGCGAAAACTACCATTATTAATGAATAATGAGTATTATTGTGGTATTTAATTATCTAATAGGGGTAATCTAGAAAAGAATGAAAAAATATGAGAAAGGGGTCCTATATTTAGGACCAAGATCAACCTTCTAATTGGATCCTATATTAAGGACCGGAGGAGTATAAGATTAATAAGGTATTCATTCCCTTAATGACTCTCTCAACCATAAATATACTGTAGCCTATAGAACCGGATGGATTCATGAGAGATTTATGATAGAATTCTTAGTTGCAAGGTTCGATCGCAAGTTTTCGTCACTAATCTTCTTGTTTCGTCGCTAATTTCTTCTCTTCTTCGTCAACGTTCTTCAAAACACAGCGTCTTCAGAACCCCGATGTTTCTTTTTCTGGTTGGCGATAGGCGACGGCGGTGGGCGGCGGACATATGTGAAGCTTCTAGATTTTTCTGGAGGGTACAAAAATTCAGCTGCCACTACCGTTGATTTAATGGATGGAGATGATGGAGCCACGTAGCTCCACACATTCCAGAACACCTCCCAATTGGCTTTGACCATGTCATTCACATTCCATAGGGCGGGAGTGGTCGAAATTGAGATGACGGAGAGATTTGAGAGTACCGTTGATTGGCTCTCAACCTGATTTCCATACTACAAAAAACACATCCAACTGGGGATGTTTGGCAAACTTAAAAAACACTTTTAATGTCCACACCAAGTTTTAATTCAAAAAGTATCCAAACACCTTATAATTTTGTAAAACCATGGTTTTTATGACAAAATCATGGTTTCCCCCATCAAAACCAAGATTTCATCAAAAGTGAATTTTTTTCGCTTTCGGTGGCTGTATAAGCAATAGTTTTTGCCCTATCAGTGTCAGGGTCAATGTCTCTACCTTTCTCCTTCTTTCTCCCCCCTTGTTCTTCTTATTTTTTGACCAGCTCTCCTCCTTCGTTCCATACCTTGATTTTTCTGTTAGGAAAAAAATTCATTTTTCTAAGAAACACATTTAATATTGTATTTTATAAATATATATACAAACATTAATTAATTATTAATTATATTTTTTTATATATTATTTATCATGTTGGCAAAAAACATATTATTAACAAATTTATTATTCCAAATTAAAATATATTACAAAATCTATCTTTTTATTAATTTATATCTTTTTTAGTAATTTGTGCATATAAAAAAATACTTTTGATAATAACTATCCAAACACTCTCATTTTATCAAAATTATTTTTTCAAAAAATTTATTCTTCTAAAATCTATTCTAAAAAATAACTTTTATTTTTTTAAAAAAATTATTCTTCAAACCATAATTTGTTTTTATCCAAACAACCCCTATATCAAGATTCCCGCAAACCTGCTGCTGCGCGTAAGCCAAGCGTGAGCCGAAGCGATTATGACTTTTTCAACTCTTTCTCCCGTTTGTGTGCCCCTTTCCTTAATAAAATTTCATCTCAGTAACAAAAACAGTAAAAATTGCATATATATTACTTAAATGTTTATTACCTGATCCTTAATAAAACACTTCCTTTAACTTTTATTTTTTATTTTAAATATAAAACCTCAATCCACTTTATTTCTCATATTTATGCATTTTTTCTCAAAGTAGTTCTTCTAATAATAATAGTTCTAATCAATACACTTAATTAATAAAGATATTTTAAGAAAAGAAATACTTATTTATTATAAATAACTAACTTAATTTATTTTTTAATTTATTCAAATCAGCTAACTATTTCTTATAATTTGATACGGGAGGTAGTATAATTGAATTCTTGATAAACTTGCAACTAGTAGCAAAAACCTAGAATAGTCTTTCTGTTTCTTTTTTTTAAAGACTAATTAACAAAACATTCCAACTACCTATAAATAGGAATGGGGAAGCCAGATGAAGCAGAAGAAATGGCGAATCCAACAGAGAGACACAACCCACTCAACATTCCACTGCATTGTGCTCCATGTATCAAAAATTGTTGCGAGTGTTCCATGTTGGTTTCAAAATGTTTTCAGGTCAGCGGACTGGAGATGAAAAGAAAATTACAACAAAGTACACAAAGAAACCAGCGATTAGTATTCCTCCATAGATGTAGGTTTGAGAAGAATGAACCGGGTACTTGTAATCGATACTGCAGCATCTCATTTTCTCCCTCTCGCTAGCCAAAACATGATCAACATATCTAGAAATACCCAAAATGATGGAGTTAGTAATGTTTTAGAGGAAATAAAATAAGCCGTATGATCCATCTTAGGAAATAACACTTGCATACGATTATTTCACGACAATAAACTTAAGCACAAGTGTTCTATATCCACATACAAACGGGCACCTGTGTGTGTATTTTGGCCACTCTACGTTTACATACAAGAAAGAAAGACTCTTCGAATTAGCTTTCCCACTTTGACAAAATATAGACACGAGCCATATGCCACAGAATAACTTACTGCTGGGTGAAGATGGTACTCTGTAAGATGTCTGAACTGTTCAAAAAGGCATCTTGTAACCGGTGATCATATAATAATGAAGACATATCGACAAGCTGCTCCTCAAGGCCCTGGTGTGTACATGTACATTGCAAACTACTAAGACACTTGAAATGCCAACACACTCAATTCCATAACTGAAATTAAGTACTCACATCAAGATATTTTTCCAGGCGTTCAACCAATTCATGCGGAAATGGTTCGGGCAAGTTAGTAGTTTTTTTGTAAAACTTCTCTAACCACAGCTTAGTGGTTGATTTCTCCCTTTTTCCCTTCACCGGTTCACCAAGAGGAGTTTTAAGATGTTCTGCTGCGAAAGCTTGGACGGTCTGCATGAAATGGGATAGGATCAATAACCATTCTAAGGACGAATATTAACAACAGAAATGAACAATAACTCACCTCAGATGTTTCACGAATTCTTCGTAGTGCAGAATCCACACGTGCATATATTGTGTTCCTCTGTCATCAATTAAATAACTAATATAGAATACCTTATGGAATAATCTCAATCCTACATAATACTAAATGTGCATTTACCAAGGCCACATCATGAAGCATTTGACTTATTTGAGAAGTATTAGAGAATGGTCCGAATGGATGACAGCCAGTTGCCCAGAGCCAATTCACAACTGGTCTTTCATGTACATGAGAAGCCTTCTCATAGGGCGCACTTAAACCACCCACAACTGATGCAAGACCTGCTAATATGTGTCGTTGAGCCTGAGATGGAACAGCATGCCTTCTCTGTGTTTCAGAAACATAACTGTCAAACAGAACATAAAAGAAAGACATTAGTTATTTTATGAAAACACCAAACTATAAGCCTAAAAGAAATACTAGAGAATAAACAATGGACCTTACGTAGTTTCTTCCAATCAAGTTCAGTAAAATAAACAAATACAATAAGCGAGGAAAGGATGGTATTCATGAACCAAAAAATGACGAACAGTATTTAAAAAGTCATAACACTGCATCGGCAATATATCACCACAAAGAAAAATAAAGTTAAGCTTGATTAAAAGTATCATTAAAATTAATGATGATAATTTTTTTTTTAAAAAAAAGAAGTGGTGGCTTGCATGGGCTTGTGTGGGCAAGCTTTGAAATTCCACATAGAAGGATTATATGGTTTCTTAAAGGAATCAGTAGCATATTTCATTAGCCGAACAAATTTATTCATTCTGCTATTACACGATACTGGTATGTCTAAAGTCCACTAAAAAATATGGGTCCGCAGGTAATGGATAAACGCAATTTATTTTCATTCACCTTAAAGGAATCTTGTCATTTTGATGCTGAAGTACAATGACAACATCATTGCTCGTCCACACCATACTTTCATCTTCCATCATAAGGTTTGGATCCACATCTGCCAATGATAGCACAAAACTGCAATATAAAACTGATTGCATTCAGAAATTTCAATATTATCTTACTTTAGAAACATAATACCATCAATACGAACCAAATCACTATCAGCAAGATTCAAAAAAAGCTTGTCTGCAAAGACTGCAACATGAATAGAGCATTTCATTTAAGAAACGCCAGAGTCTAACAATTACAAGGATTTCATTCAGATGATCCTGACAAAGCTAAATTAGAGAGCCATAAAAAGAGATCAACAGAGAAAAAGTGAAGTTTCAAAATAAAAAGGAATAAAGATACACTAATGTGATAATTATATCTACATGCATTAGCAAAAACAATATATCCATACATACACAGGAATTACTCTAGTTCCATAAGTTGGTTGCAGATCCCCTTGTTTCTTTACATTCCTCTTCTTTTTCTTGCCCCGTTTTGAGTCATACGAGGCCCAAAGAGGCTTATGCTTAAGAATAGAATCTGTTGATCCATCAGATTCATCCATCCAGTTCTGCCGAAGAAAGAATTTACTTGACAGAGATGGATCCGCTACTTCAAGCAATCCAGCAGCAAGCACATCGGCAGAACGTTCCATCTCCTGCAAAAAAAGGTTTCAACATCAAATAGAGATAGGTAAGAAAAACAGGAAAGCTGCCTTCCATAAACGGCTATAACGGCACTGAAATCAGATAGTTTCCTATTTGTCAATTGCTTTAGTGAGGGATGCAAAGTCATTTTCCCGATTCAAAATCTAAAAGTAAGGATGCCAAAACCACATACCAACAAAAAGAAAGAAGCTATTACTCGTGTAAATCATACAAGTAAAAAGATATTAACAAGGCAGCTACCTCTTTCAAAAGAGCACCATCCAGATACATCTTGGTATGAACATGGAAACGGCCGTCATTCTTGGTTTCTTGCAGGGAATGGCCACGCATCGATTTTGACACCGCAATTGCCAGCTTCTCATGGCGATGCAGTGAATGCACACCCCCAATAATAACTACTTCTTGCCCATCATGAAGCATCCTTTTCACCTAAGAGGAGAGCAAAAGGGGTCATTGTCCCATTTGTTCCTGTCTTACTACACTGGATTTCACAACCAGTCAATGTCATGTAACAGATTTACAAATTACTTTAAAAGTAACAAACCTCTGCCTCAATTTCTTGGACATTAATACTATAGTTATGGCCCTTTTCCATAATATTATATCGATTGTGATTTTGCAAGACAATTATAGGTATAAGCAATCTTGAAGTCAGATCCAGAGTTTCAAACCTGCAAACAAGGATAAGAACAGATCAGATTGTAGAAATAGTACAATAGTCATGTGACATTCAAGTGTTCCAATCAGTAGCATGCTCAATATTGAACAAAGAGACACCAATAAAAAATAGCCTTTTAAATTCTGAGTGAGCCATGATTATGTCTAAGAGGATATCACAATCCACAAATACCTAACATCAGGAGCTATAACATGCTCCACCGTGATTGATATCAAAGAGGCAAGCTGTCCAAGAAAAATGTCATGGCTGGAATGATCAGCAAATGTTCGCCAACTTTTTGGATGCATAACACTTCGTAATCTTGGCAGACTTCTAAAACTGACGCTTCCCTCTTCAGCTTCAATTTTCCCATAAGTGCATGGCCCTGCTGAGAGGTCAATGACCACATATCTAAACAGAACAGAAAGAAAGTTAGGCTTGCATATTTGGATAGGCACGTGCTCTCTCTCTCGCTATATATATATATATATATATATATATGTATTAGAACAAACAACCCTTTTTCCTTAATACAGTGAATATGTAAATGTATATTTTTTTTATACGAGAACATATTTTATTAGTTTTCAGGGAAAAAAAGTTGCAGAAACCAATATAACAACTGAGTTAAAAAAAGTTTAGGTTAAAATGAATTCTTGGCTGGACAAATAAAATATGAATTTAGAAAATACTTTCTTCTCTTAACTACTGATGCAACCTATCAAATTTAACATATATGTGTCTGTATATATTGTAATTTTGCAAATATTACACAATAATAATCTCTTGAATATTTCTGGAAAAAAAAGATCATGGACGTACATGTTATAAAACAAATACAAAAAATGCTCTGAGCAAACTAAAATCCATGCTTAACTCCAGGTTGTGCATGATTCAGACCATTAATCCAACTCCAATTGCCTCCGGTGCTTATTCCAGAAGTTGCCAGAGCATTGCAAACAATACCCACGGGAAACAAATTTTGGCTGCTTTTGGATCATACACAAGATAAGTTCACTATCAAATTATTTCATACCTGCCCGAGCCCAGCCAAACTTGGGATGCTCCTCCACCGTTGTAGCGATAACGATAAATGTAATCTCCTTCTTGTTTTGTAATATCATCCTCACTTAGCTCAGGAAGTTTCCCATACATCAAACTATCAAGATCAATTTCCTTATTCCTAGGATCCATTCTAACCTGCAATATAAGAGTTTAGTAGGAAAAAAAATACAAAACCTAGTCACAACAATTGTCTAAGCAAGTGGGAATAAGAAAACCCAATCATGTGTTCATTAATTTTTGTCAGTTATAGTAGTCAGCCAACAAAAACTTCTAAGCACTGCAGGTAGTTTAAAAGAATTTGACATCAACTGACTTTGGTTCAATACAAAGTAGGAAAAGCGCTTTATAAAGAAAAGAATAGATTATACCTTATCAAAGTTTAATATAAATACTGCAATTGGCTCTGGTCTATCCTTCTCGGTGCCAGAATTTCCCTCAGCACCCATGTCAAATATGTAAGAGTACAGCCTCTGAAATATGTCCTCCACAGCTGTTGCTTCGACTTCAAACAAGGGTAACTCCCTTCCAAATTCAATCTGGAAATTTTAAACACGCAGGACCTTTTCTTAAGGCTAAGGGCATATATTTTCTAAAATCAAGCAAGCAAACAACAAGTGGCATGTAAAACTGGATTTTACCTCTCTAGCTTTTCCTGCAGGAACCATAGCTTCTTTAAGTGTCTTCTCTAGTGCTATCAATTCAGGTTGTCCAGACTGAGATGAGAATTAAATAAAAAATGTTACAATTCAGAAAGAATACGAGATAAAGTGTGTGTGCAGCACTTGATACAAAAAATACACCATGTGGGAAAAAAAGCAATAAAAAATTTGATTGCAGTCCATTAAGTAAATGTGATGGGCCCAATGAGCAAGAAGTTTGGGGATCAGTTAGATTATGATGCAGGGCCTGATCCTAACCTCTTCAAGCCTTTCAGCAATAAAAAGCACAGAAAATACCTGAGTCATGTGATTCAATGGTTGTAACCTTTTGTTTGTAACATTAATGCTTTAAGGAAGAAACAAAAATCTAATCCAGTGGCTGGATTACGCACCGAAACGCCAAGCAGTCACATATCATTTTTTTTATTATTCCACCGATACATATGCACCAGAATTTATATAAACTTCGAGCCAAGTTCAGTAGTGACCATAACTTTAATAATCTAAATAATCATATTCACCCATATAAACTTTAATTTCTCGCATACAAATATAGAATCCTACAACAGACCCATCAAAAGTAGTATATGACAGAACGAACTGCACTGAGAACATATATAATTATAAAGCAATCAAATTAGCAAACAAATAGGAATAGCAAGCATCAATATTGATCATACAAAAGATATGACACCGCTGTAATGTGAATGACAGATGGGTATCAAATTTGTACCATAATAAACAAAGCACAGGCGAATCACTACCCAATTAAAAGGGGGAAAAATCAAGAAGCTTACCGGAAAAACATTATACACCATGTGATGCTCAATGTCAAGAGGCTCGCCAGTCTCTAGGCAAGATGGTCTATGCGATGGAAAGCTCATTTTGAGGAATTTTTCTAATTGATGCGCATCAATAGAGTATCTGTAGCCTCCATCTTTGTTGAAACCAACAAGAACCACATTCACTTCGAGCGGAACTTGAAACGGAACCTACAGCACAAACGTCATGCATAACCCAAATCGCAAAGAGACAGAGAAACACATGATTATAAGACTAATACCGTATTTGTACAAAGAGGAACAATCATATTTTAGTTTTAAAAAGGAATTAAACACTTCCTAACTCTACAAACCTAATTCTAAAGTCAAAACAAAGAACGAAGCCGCTGCCATTGGTCATTTTCCGTTTTTGCGTTTTCTGGAAAGAAAATTCTACCTCAGCGCGAGAGTGAAGCATGCGGCGAACATCGGATCGGACGCTATCTCGCACGTCGTGGAAAGCTCCATGGTGCCATTGAGCGTGACTGCGATCTCTTCTGAAGGCTTGCGGTGCCGACTCGGAGGGAGTCAAGAGAAGACTCAGTACAATTGCGAAGGAGTATAAAAACGAGCGAGACCGTGACATTCTCATAGCACTTTAATCATGAAAATCGTTTTCAGGAACCAGAAATAGGGATCGATGTGCACAGGAAGTCAGAATAACGGTAATTTATGCTAAGCATTAAGCATAGCGGAAGCTCACGAGCTAATCGCCGGGTACCGAGATGGGGCTTATGCCCTATGCTTAGGTCTTCGTCGAGAACAAGCGAGTCCACCCGCCGAGACTGTAAATACCTTATTTGCTCGGGTACCCCTGAAATTTCCATAATGGCCATGCAGTCCTTTTTCATGTTATATTTTTTCTTACAAAATTAATTTCAACATGAATCTATCAATATACAAATATATTAAAATAGAATTATAAAATAAATTTTATAACAAATAGATGATAGATAAAAAATAATATGGCACCTTCATTTTAGTTTTACTGGGCTGTTAAACACATGGCGGTTCTTTTTTTTTTTAATAAAACAAAAAGTTTGATGAATATTAATCTCTTTTCTCTAGGCATCATTACAATGAGAACACACATATTGCCTGCAAATTCTGAAAATTTGATATGAAAATTATTGATGATAAATAATTACGAAATACTCCTCCGGTCCTTAATATAGGACCCAATTCTTGAGTTGATTTTGGTCCTAAATATAAGACCCATTTTTCATATTTTTTAATTTTCTCTAAATTACCCATATGGATACTCCCTCAATCATAATCAAGTAGAAGAGGGAGAAGGGGTATTAAGAAAGATGATTATGGTGTTTTAGGAAAATGTGTCACTTTTCTTATAATTAACTAATTTACCTAACTTCCTTAATCTAATCAATTAGTTAAATGGGTCTTATATTAAGGACCGGAGGAGTAGCATTAACAATAACGTTACTAGATTTCTTCCCCCAAGACATTGATAGATGGACGCGGGTATACATAAAACTTTATGTAATCCTAGTTTAGTATACCGCTAATTTTGTTGGTTCGCTAGATAGACATGTCCACTTTACAAGAAAGAAGACACAGGTTCAATTAACAATTAATAAATTACATAATATGTGAAAGTGTCGTCCGTACTCGTAAAAATATAGAGATATATATACTATATGTAAATATTCAAATAGATCGCAGTACAAATAATGTAACCCATTCTCTGTAATTGCACATGTGAGATATATATATATTGCCAGAGATGTATCTATATACTCCTCCGATCCTTATTATAAGACCCAATTTGACTTTTTATTTGGTCCTAATTATAAGACTCCAATCCATTTTGTCTCTTATATTTATGCATTTTTTCCAAGATAATCCTTCTAATAATGATAGTTTTAGCCAATATACTTAATCAACAAGGATATTTTAGGAATAACAACACTTATTTATTATAAATAACCAACTTAACTTACTTCCTTAATCTCCTCAAATAAGTCAATTGGGTCTTATAATTAGAACCGGAGGAGTATGTTAGTAATAAAAATATGAAATAGCACCTCAGCTCAAAAAAAAAAATGAAATAGCATCTTAGAACTACTATATACGATGGGCGTGGACGAAGGAATAACGGAACGTGAAATTAACGAGTAGAAAAGGGAATTAAATCCGGAAACAATCAACAGTTGATGTGTATTATATTCTAGTAGTATCCAAGGGAAAAGAATTTGAATAAACGAATGGCGGGAAGAACAGTGATATCAGAAATCAATGCAACGTGGGAGGGCATCGAACAGAGACAGGTGGGTCAGAAAGTGCGCCTCTGGAAACAAGGTTGTGGTTTATGAAGACGACAATCACAGAAATGTCATCGTGGTATTCGCGCCGCTCAGCCCTCGGAACCTTTTCCAGATCTATCAGTTTCATCGTTTTCCTCCTTCCTGCTTCCGTCAGTGCAGCCTTGATTAGTCTCTTTGCGCTCCCCTGCATCAACCCGCCACGCTGTTTTGATTTCTTTGCATATAAAGAAAACGACAACTAGCTCCACCACGCTCTCTTCTGGCTCATTTCAATTGTATTCTTTCCTTTTCTTTTTATATAAACTTTGCAGATCCACGATCAGTCAATTACTCATATGACAGTATTTGCATAAACGAGTTCTGCTTCTAAATACTCTCAAAACCTACTCAAAGCAATCCATGAATCCATTGTTCTCTATTCTCAACGTGTATCACATGTGGTACATTATGTTGCAAACTTGAGGAGAGTATTTTTAATTAACTAAAGCCGAAGAAGCACGTACATATGTGTGAGTGGGACCAAAGCGTTTTACAAATTACATTTACAGGCATTCGAGAAAATTTGAGGAATGAGTTCCCAGGTGTGAAAATTAGGTACAGTAGGAAAATCATCAACAGTTACAAAGAAATTGCTTACCCCACGCGGACCGCTTTTGACAATACCTACGGCTGTGTTATTATCCAAGAACTCCCACAGACCATCAGAGGCAAATATAAGGAAGGAATCATTTGCATGGAGTGGATGAATCATAATTTCTGGATTAGCAGTCAGGTAAGGCATGTCCATTGGTTCAGGAAGTCTGAATTTTGGAGCAATGGCTTCCCGATTAAACTGCGCATCTTTCATATACAAGTCGCCTATGGCTCTACAGACCTGCACCAATTAAATACAATCATGGACCAGGAAATATAATAACATCATTACTGCAGATAGTGGAAAGTAAAACTGACAAAATTTGACTTCATGAACAAATAAATAGAGGAGTTGCAGAATAAAAGCACCTTCACTTTTTCCCCCCACAATTGCAATACTGACTCTCCTCACTTGAAAAAATATCATATACGATGGAGGAACGTGACTCTTTTACATATATACTGTGCCTAATCAAGACATGACTGCGAGGACAACGCAGCATATTCAGCTTGACAGGGTTATCCTTGTTTTCATCAACATTTGCAGATTTATATATGCCAAAGACACGGGGTACAAAAGACACAATAATAAACTAAAATCTCAGGCATTGCATACGGACATATTTACCTCACAAAATATAGATTACACACAGAATATCATTTTGGACAATCAGACTCTCAGAGCAAGGCACAGGTAAGTAAGAGATTTTAATTGAACATGCTCCTCCACAAAATTTCAAGAAAAGAGATCATTATGATTACTATAAGTAATAATTAAGTTTCTTGAATACGTTTCAGCAAAAATTAGTTTCCACATGGAAGAAAAACAGGGTCCTAGGAGGGATATAAACAGAGGCACTTACCTGAACGATACCCTTTACCCTAAAGGCTCCACGCCTCATTTGAACAACTTGGGGATCATTTGGGTGCAAATCTCGGAGTTCCCGTCTAACTTCCTCAACATTTACATTGTGTTCATGTGATAGCGGAATTGCCAAAGATCTGAACCGCCGCCCAATTTTGAGCCCAACACAACACGGGAATCTCCAAGGTTTGCCACAAATAAGGTCTGCCGAAAAATCACACCAATGAGGCAGCAAGTTCCAGTAGTAGCCAAAGCAGGTTGAGCATTCCATGATTCTGCCACAAGTCGGCTGAATCCCTCTTCTGTTCGGCGAATTGCTCCTTCAATGGTCCCACGTGTAACCGATCCCTGTGACTCGGCTGATATTGGTGCACACGAACGAAGTTTAATACGGCTAAAAAAGGAAGGGCTCATTTACTAAAAGAAAAAAGATAACGTGGAGCAAAATCCCTACACGCTCTATCCCGCAATGAAGCCAACATTGAGGGCAGACAATTTACCAATATAACAACAAGCCTTCGGCTCAGAAAAGAAGGGAACAGGAGAGATCAAGATTTGAAGACATGATGTAACGTTTACCGTTCAGCGATCAAGAACTCTAAAATTAAATATAACTCGTAATACAGCGTGCATGGCATAAGTTCCAACTGTGCTTATTTTTTGAAATCTCAAACTATAAAAGACCACGAAAAGTGAATTGATGAAGAATCACTAATAACAATTCGTACTCGTGAATGACACAGAAAACAAAAACGTGGCCACTTAAAGCCCGCAAGAACCAGAATTAAATGAGTACAAAAGACGGGTTTCCGAATCAAAGACCTTGTAAATTCTGAAACAAGTGATCGCAAACGTATCGAGCCGCATCGTAACCTCCATGGCCATCGTATATGCCGACAAAAGTGCCCAATGGACCAGACTCAAGCTGGCTCTGGTCTTCAATAATCCGGTTGGCCTGAACCACCGCCATGGAGAAGTCACCGCAGCCATGCTTCCCGTTATCTCGGAACCAAACCGAGCCGTCCATACCTTCTTTTCCACCGCCGGCCCCACCGCCCCTACTAGTACCCTCCCCAGCATCGTCACCACCACTACCACCAAGCAACCCCTTAAAGCAAGAGAATGGCCTCATGAATGCCACAAGTATACAACATCTCACGGAAGCCCCAACCCTAAGTCCAACACCAGAACCTCCCCCGGATGATCAAGTCTCGTTGCCAAGACAATCCTCCGAATCCGGTAAAACAAAAGAGAGAGGAAGTAAAATCATCAAACTGAATATTATCTTGGAGAATACTTTCTGATTATCTACTATCTCAAAAGATTATATCAATATCTTTATAATATGAGTAATGAGCCCACTCCCACGTAATTCTCCAACTATCAGATATCTAGTATCCGCATTATTCAAAATATAGTTAAATAATATGAAACTAATAACGCTAGAAAATAGGAAACCTACATGAAAAAGCCTCACGTTTTTGACTCAGTAAAACTTAAATAAACAAATGAGACAAATGAATAAATAAGGAACTCCAAACATGAACGTCACGTTTTTAGCACTCCCCTTTAGGTTTTGTTTGGTTCAACGAAGGAGAAGGGAGGTTAATTAAGGGTTTGTTTGGTTCGAGGGAGGGAAGGAGAGGAGAGGTTAATTAAGGGTATGTTTGGTTCGAGGGAGGGGTGGGGTAGGGGGTGGGGGAGTTTTTATCCTCACCTTATTTGGTTTGATTAAAAGAGAAGGAAGAGAGGAATATTTAATGATCCTTTGTTTGATTCAAGAGGAGGAGGAGAGGGATAGTAATAATCAATTTATCATTTTACCCTTACATATTAATTTATATTTTTATTGATATATTATATAAATTAATTTACATCTTAATTTAAATTATATAATTTAATAAAAATTTATTCTTATCATGGTAATATATGCATTAAAAAAC